ATCTTGTCAGACACAGATGCCTGAGACTGCATCTTATGAAATGCAGGTCAGAGCCTGATGTGTATCAGTTTGGCGAGGGGTGCTTGACACCACAAGAACCACTGTGCTACGGTATAATAAACCTACTGACCCCATTTAATGTTCCCCTCCTGGCCTGACAGGATTAACTGCACAAAAAATGTGTAATACTAGTTAAAAACCCTTGAAATAGGCAAACAACAACAACAATATCGAGAAGTGAGAGAAAATGGCGAGCTATGAAAGTCAACACACAACAAAGCTTGGTAATGTCTCTCTGTACAGTTTTATTTACATGATACTATTCTGTCGTAATGCTGGATAGCAAGATTATATGTAATACATAAATATCAACACAGTTTGTTGTTTTTTCATTTTTTGTACAAATTTGCATATAACTAAGAATCAGAAAGGAAAAACTCAAACGGATACATACAGCTGGCTTTTAAATGCAAAACACATCCTTACAGGGGGAGAAAAAATGGGGAGGGGGGGTTAACACAAGTCACAAACATACATGGTTTCAATGTGTCAGGCAGCCATGAAAACACACACATGCACCCGCACAAATACACACACTCACTCACACACACATACACACACTTCTGGTAGGGTCTGATTACCTAATTTAACAAACATGCGACGACTTGTAAATCTTTTAACTACATAAAAAATGGCACCCACACGCAACTTTTGCTGAGCTTCATTTCAGTTTAGGAAAAAATATTCACTTAATTTTAAACTGTTGTCTTCCACACAGCCATCGCTAACTGAGACGAGTATAAAGAAACAGAGGAATTCTTTCAGTATTCATCACAGCCACAATGTCCTAATGTGGCAACAAAAGTGCCTTGGTTTTAGGGAAGCCAGCCCTCAGTAGAAGAACAATATGTCACTGGGTGAAGGACTGTATTTATATCATGTGAGCAACCCACTCTCATAACCTCTTCTGGCTGCGCTACAAGATGAGAAAGACACAGAAAAATCTGAACTTGGAAAATATGTGCATATTTTCAAGGAGGTTCGGAACAAAAGCTATCAGTCAGCTTCCCTACAGTCAGAAGAGGCTTTGTGAAAAGAGAACAGAGAAATGTTTACATTCCAGTGCCAAACAGTCCTAAAATACCAATGGGGAAAGGAATCGGTGACGTCTTCCCAAGAACTGAATGGTTCTTTTGTACTGACAGGACTCTGAAACATTGCATTTGCATTCCTCTTTCTTGTGCAGCTGAAAATGAATCAATTATGTTGTATATTTTGAATATATCATAATCTGATTGAACCTGCTTTAACTTATCTTCTCAAGGAGTTACAGGACTGTGGCTGCACTGGAAAGACCTGGAATGTAAGATCATGAAATTGCTCCATAGGCTCACATTTGATTACACTCTGAGGAAACTGGGAGCACTAAACAGAAAACAATATATTCTTTTATGGACCTGAAAAACCCGTCTGAATTGTACGGTATGTGCAAATCATCTGCCTCTCTGTATTACTTGTGCTTTTTATGCATACTGCAAAGTTGACAGAAGATGTAAAAACATGTATTATATAAGTTTATCCAGTGTTGGCAGCCTATTTTACTACAATGATGTGTTTTTTGTATTTAATATATAGTTCTGGACTGGCTGCTTGTGGTGGAAATTAAGAGGCGACTCAAGCTCCAGCGACCACCAGTTAAGATCTGACGTGGTTTTAGTGTTGGATTCCACAAAGTTGTGCTCCCATAATTGACAATACCATGGGAAGACCGCCTGGAAGAGGCTATTGAGAGGAAGATGCTTCCCAGTAGAAATTGGCTGCAGGGGCTCCAGAGAGCAGAGGAGAAGAGTCATCTGCATTACCACAGACGTGGCAGAGAGAGCCACAAGGTGGCTGTGGCTCAACAGAGGAGAGCCATGGGGGGCAAAGTAGCTGCTATCTGGACACAAGGTCGGGTCGGATCAACCTGGGTCGCCTGAACGGGGGTGTATGATGTTGAAAGACCCGAAACACCAGATAATTCCAGGCACATCACTGAAGATGTGTTCAGAAGTATCAGCAAAATATATATTTGCCCAGCTGGTTTGTTTTTTTCCATTTACTTTGATCTACTATTTGCCAATGTTGTTTCTTTTATTTCTGTACACATGACTTGTTTAGTGTTTAGAGCTTGAAGGTCAAAATGTTGCCTCTGTACTTTTTTATGAACTTGCAATGTTTAGCGAGCAGACTCAATTCCTTCTTATTTTTTTGTGCTACTTTTTTCCTGCAGCTGTACCTCATACTATCCACCTTCTTCACACTGCAAAGTTAACTCACTAGCTTTCCCACTACAGTCACAGTTAAGTCCCATACAACATTCACATCATCAAATATGGCTCAAGTGATCAGATTCCAGTAGTTTTCGGGTATGTTTTTAGTGCAGTCACACATGTATCTAGAGAAAGTGACAAGTGTGGTTAGTACGATAGAGACCGTGCATCAAAAACACCTTCACCTTGTCGGATGGATAAACAACTTAAACAGTTTCTAAATAAGCATTTGACTATTAGCTGAGAACTAACCTTCACTAGACACTGGGCAGTGTGCATTGGACTGAGCAGGTCTGGGATGTCAGGCCCGGTGTACCCTTGTGAGTCAGGCTCAGAGGCAGGATCCTGATGAAACCGCACAGCCTGGGCAGGAAGTCGACACTCATACAGCTGCTTGTACTTACTGGACACCATCATCACCTCCTCTGTCTTGGTCTGAAGGAGAAAAACACTGTCACGATCACTGCGGTACCTTCAAGTGTGATGAAGCCATCCACTAGCACTGCACTGGATTGTTTAAAGCTCATTAACGTTGTGTGACTGCCCTCGTTAGTCATTCACAGTTTAGAGAAGTGAGGAAGCTGAGGTTGTGTTGACAGCTGTCACTGATGGTTGCTGCGTAGGTCACCTGGAAATAACTTAACCCCATGAACGCCTCTTCGTGTAACTTGCAAGCAAAGTGTACGTTTGAAGTGAGTGTTATATCACCTAGCTAACAGACTTACAGACAGGTTGTTATTTAGACGCGTCAGTGACGTTATAAGGAAAACATTTCACGCTAGCTTTCAGTAGCCTACTTTCTAGCTAGCAAGCTTAGCGTCTCCAAACAGCCCCACTCACCTGCCCCAAGATGACGGGATCGGGGAGGATTTGAATCCCATATTTCATCTCATTCAGCTCCTCCAGATTCAAGAAGGCTGGCACACAGAGGGGACATATCAACAAGAAAACGCAGAGTCTTTTTAGCCACCGTACCAAGGAAGCAGCCATGATTGACTCTCTTGTCTGACAGCAACAACACACAGAACGTCTGACATGGTGGCAGCTGATTGGTCGGTGTGAGAAGCGCTGCTCTCTCATTGGCTAATGCTCTGCGTCCGTCAGCGGGCCGCCCGTTCTGGGGTGTGTTAGTTTATCACACCGGCACGGAGTCAACGGGCGGCGCGTCTACCTTCTTCACGTCCAAACTCATCATTAAACGACGCACATGTCAGCTGTCAACGTCTGTGCTGTCGTAAAATAAACTCACCTATGGGGGAGAAACCGGGCGTCCCGGTGCCCGCTGGATGAGGCGTGTCCCGAGCCAATTTGACCAAATTAATGTCATGCGGATTATTCCGTTATTTGGTAAAACCAGACACTGTTTTTAAGATTTTTAATAGCCACAATTTAAAAGTAAATTAATGTATTCAGCTGGTGCCCCATTAACCACCCAGGATTAGGGTTAGGTAGTTGATTAGCCTATTTGTATCATATATCCAGTATGGACATAAAGCCTGTTAAAAACAACAACAACATCATCCATTAAAAACGTGCATTCAGGCACATAATACCAAAATACGACTCACAAATCAAACACTCGTGCAGAGACGGACACCCACACCCACCCATCTACCACACACACACACACACACACACATTATTGCTGAGTTGTGTTTATGAGCAGGTCTAGTGGTTGAAATATGAGCCAAATACAATGCACGGATGTTATAAATAGTTGATGAAGTGTGTTATATGTTGGACGCATGTTGGAGCTCCATGATGCTCTGCTGATTGACCGCTGAGCGTTGAGGTGCGCTGTGTGCTCTCCGCCGTGCTGCTGCTGCTGCTGCAGGAGGAGCGTCCGTCCGTCCACAGCCTGCAGTGCTGCGATGTGATGTGCAGCGGGGTTTTTGTGTGTGTGTGTGTGTGTGTGTGTGTCTCCTTGCTGCTCCGTTTTCCCATATCTAATCCCATTTGCAAGACCACTGAGGACCAGATTCATTAAGAGAGAGGGGCGACAGCTTTGGGGAACAGCTTTGTGCGTCTGCGAAACTGAGGTGAGCTCCCTGTTCGTGTGATTTGACTGTAACAGCAATAGGCCTACATCTCCGTCTTCAGGATGTTATTTTTGGCAGTATTTATAGCTCTGGGTGGACGTTTCCGTTTCTCTACTTGACAAAACATGAAAGAAGAGAAAGGCAAAAAAAAAAATCTGGAGCCTAGAAGCACCTAATTATCGATACAATGCAAATAGATCTTTGTTTTGCAGGGACTGTTTCATCCTGTAGCCTAAGGAATGTAATCGAAAGACACATTGAGCTTTGTGAGCATTATGTTTTCCCTGCAGTCTTGCTCACGACTAGGTAGGCTAATAGGCCCGTCTGAGAGAGGGAGAGATCGTATCATATCTGCAGCTATAGTCATTCATGTGCGCTGCTCCGGTTTGCTGGACAGATGATTTCATTACTTGGACATTTTTCTCCTGTATATGGATGCCGGGCTGTGAGGGGGAGTAGCTGAGGCACAGTAAAGAAGATGATGGTGATTTAATTCCCAGAATCTGAATGAGGCAACAAAGCTGTCACGCGCACTTTGGGAGGGACCCACAGAGCTGTGTCCATGTCTATAACATGTTCACAGCTCTCCTTACCTCTCCTTTGGCTTGTTTTTAGGTTGATTTAAAAAACAACAACAGGGCTACTAGCACAGTTTAATTCTGATTGGAACGTGGACGTGGAGATCATCTCTCACCTCTTTTGACCGCCCGGTTATGTATAAGGATGGTTACACCATCACAGCTAATTATCATTCTCAATGCACAATTTCAATCCGTACGCAGGGCTACAGGACTGGGTAATGCTACTGTAAAGACTGTGGGATTGATTCAGCAAGCTTCATATAACATACGTAATTGAAATGAATTATAATGATAGCCAATAAGAATTATTCTTTGTATTATGTTATATTATGGCCTCAGTATTATCCTTTATAGCTTGATCTTGGAGATATGATGGCATCATCTCTTAAAACCTGCACATTTGAAGAGGTTTCTGATGCATAATAGTGTTTTTCTTTTATGGTTTTATCTATTATTGCCTTTTTATTTGATGCTGTGTGTCTGTTTGATGTTGACCATGTTTGTTACAGCTAAAATGAGTATTAGTCTACTGAGACACAGTTTTCATTGAGACAGGCGACAGAAACCGCTCTTTTCGTGAATGCATTAATGAGTTTGGTGAATATAAGTTATGTATAATGCACACAAGGCCTACCCTGCCTCTCTAATAGAACAGGAAGTGCTTCTAAAAGGAGCACGGGCAGCTTCCTATGAGAGACGTAGGTCCAAAACAGCCCATCTGATTGGCTGCTCAGCACCTATTGATTTTTTTTTCATCTTACCAATTAGACTATATTGGTCACTCTCATCCCTGCACGATTTCCCAGAGGACTGTGAGGCCACGCAAACAGCTGCTGTCGCACCATGGACACTTGACTGTGTTTTGATGTGATGATGCAATTGCTTTGTGCGGTTTTTATACACAATTTATATTTATTTGGGAACTAGTCTGTGATGTTACACTGGTTTTTCTAACCTGTATTTTATAATTCATTTTTATTATTTATTATTGTGAACAGATGGGGAAGGCGCTCACTCATTTCTGTGATTATCTGCATGGTTTCTGGAGATGCAGGTGCCTTCAGGGGATGCCCTTTCACTGACTGGATAGAGGCAGTTGGGTATATTTTCTTACTTTTTAAACATACATTCAGGGCTGGAAATTAAGAGAAGGAATTTGAGAGATTTTAAATCCACAAAGCATGTACAGATTCAGTGCTTGAACATTTAAGGTGTTAGTTACTTGCTGCCAGAGCAATTCCAGAGGAAGTGTGTACATATGTGTACATACAGTACACAGGTACAGGAATATGTCTGTATCTGTTGAAAGGTTATAATAAATGCAGATCTTTCTTTCTTTATTACTTTAACATTTTTTTGGAGCTGAAAAAGCAAAAAAGGTTATTTGACAAAATGGTGGCCAAATGAAATGAAATATTAGACTGCTTTCTGCTCCCCGAACACGGTAAGAATTAAGTCAGTGATTTGTGGAAAAAGTTTGAAAAGTCCAAAACATTTAATCATTTTGGACAGACGGTGGATGGAGCAATTGAAAAAAGAAAGAAAGAAGTAGCAGAGACAAAGAGAGGAGTTGATAGAAGAAAAGAAAGGAATATTTTATCTCTGGCTGCATCTAAAGAACTCTGCAACCATTATAGTATTATGTTTGATTTATTTTTAAGTTTCTCTTACACAATGTGCAAAAATGAATAAAATTAAATTCCCTCTCTTTCTGTTTATGTGCTGAGCTGCAGTGGAGGGATAGTAGGGATAGGGACAGAATATTTCATACTCACAAGATATTTGCTTGCTAAAGCCTCATATTAGCTTGAACTTTCAAATTCATTTCACAACAGAGCAGCTGTGGATCACTTCTATTGGAGTCGTGTGAAGAAGTGACCCCTTTTTGGCAGCAACCAGTAAGTCTTTCAACAAACGCACTGTATGTCTCTGGCAGGTTTTAGGATGCGCTCCCTGAGAAAGACGTTGTTGCTCGCCATCCTGGTGTCTGTGGTGCTGGTACTGGCTCTTCTGCATTCGTGGCCCACTCGGGCTTACACCACGGTAGACGTGTGGCAGCGACCGGGGTCAATAGTGGAGAGGCATCTGGAGGAGAGGCTCCCAGAAGCAGACCACCGATTAGGCAACATCCCTTTTCATGTGAGGGACAGTGTGGCAATGTAAGTGTTTTTAGTCAGTTAGTTAGTTTATTGCATCTCAGCACAACAGAGCTCAGCTAAAACCTGATTGACTCACATACCTGTGTCTGTGATGATCCATCCAGCTTGTTGGCACGTAATGGATGTGTATGTGAGGGCGAGAGTGGAGGAGTAAACCTGCCCTTCGCCCAACTCTTGTTCCCGCGGGTGTCAGCTCACCCGCTACACACTGCCTTTGAAGCCTCAGAGCTGGAGGAAATGAAGAGGAGAAGGGCCAAAGAGTACAAGAGTTTCCAGAAGAGGTGTGTAGCGTTGTAAAAAATAGATGCAAAAATATTGCCACCAGAAGAGCGGGATAACAAGTAAAACACTCCCTGGATATCATTTTGGTTTGGATTTATTTATGTGTAAGCTTTATTTACTGTATCTAAATCCTAAATCCAGCCTCAGTCATCTCTGGATCATTTCTGTGACATGATGGAAGTCATTGATGCCCTCATATTAACTGTCTCACATAATGTACCTCTTCACCTTTTATTCATTATGGTATATTTAACTGATCAAGAACACAACAGCAATGCTGTTGAGGAGTTCAAAATAGAAAAATTTTTCATATTCTGTTCTCTCTGTACTGGCTACCTTGATGCCTTTATCTTTGAGTAATTTTACTACAAGATATTTTTTTCCAGCCAAGAGCAAAATCATAAGGTGACACAGTCTGTTATTAATAGCTGCTATTGAATTCTCTCTACTGGGTCGTGTCAGTCATTTTGTATTTTCAAAGAGTAAAAAAAACACTCATGATATAAAGCGTGTTTGTATTCTATTCCTGTCTATGCTTGTGAATGTATGTGGAGGCTACGTCTTCCTCATGTGAATCTTTTTCCCTTCAGGTCAGAGTCACTTGCAGATGTTCTCATCATTGCAGAGGCTAACAATCCCTTACAGTATCCAACACAGGGGGTGGAGGTACGACCCCTGAAAACAATCATCATCCCAGGTAGAGTGAGACACACATTTGTTAAAGTAGATTGCTGTCCAACAGTTAAAGCTGGATGATGTGGCGGCACAGTGTTGGATTGCATTATTTAATTAAAAAGCATTGGCCACTATAGCTAAAATAAATCATCCAGCTACTTCTTGACAACCTGGAGCTGTGCATGGTAGATTTCACTTATCTACATGACCTAAGACGGTTTCAGTATGTGTTTAGGAAGTGGAAGTACAGGAAGTGGATTAGATAAGTCCCAATGGCTGTAGCAGCTAAACCTGTCAATTACCATATGCTTTTCAGGCTTGGCTTTACACGACCTTCCCAGAGACCACTACTCCGTAAGTATTTTAGTACGCCTGTCTTTACTTTTACATATTTTAGATGCCTGCTCTCCCTTTATCCCCCCTGCTTTTCTTTCCACCTCGCCTAAGATAAACATGACTGCCACGCTGGGAACGCTCAACGTGGCAGCAGAGGTAGACGGGGTGAAAATCAAAGGTGATGGCGAGATGCACATGACTCTGTCAAGCAGCCTCCTGCCGAACCTGAACCGCCAGCTGCAGTTTGTCACGTACACAAACACGCTGTTCCACCCGAGCACAGCCGACACAGGTGAGGCCTCAAAATGTCTCATTTGATCTCTGGACTTTAAAAGTCAGTTAAAGTAACCAACCAAGTACAGAATCAAGATAAGGAGACTTGAGCCTATTTGAAGTTTCAGTTAGTTTTGCACAGACACAGCCGATATAGAAATGTCCTTCAGAGAAACCAAGAGGGCACTTTTTACTT